CCCAGCCCCACTCACTCGTGCTGGGTGGGTGGCCCTGGGACAGGTGACTGTGATTTCACTCCATCTCGGGGAAGGCAGCCAGGGTGTAACCGGGGACCCGAGGGTGTTCACCAAGGGGTCCAGTTCATCATCTCCCACTCTGGGCACAGGCTGCAAGACCCCATGCGGGCCCCCAGCAGAGACTGGAAGCCCGGGGCAGATCAGCCTCTCTGCTTTCCCGGGTTGAAGGGATAATGCAGGATTTGAGGACAGGGACTCTGCTGTGCCAGTACAGGCTGACTACACTGGGCCTGCTGCCAGTCTGCTGACTGTCCACTTGTGCACTGAGTTCCCCCGTGCTCAGCCTTAGTTGCCTGTGTGAACTGAGGGGGTCACAAAGCTTTCTTGGGTGTGTGTGGGGGTGTGTATTCTCCTGCTCAGGTGGGTGGTGCCTAAAAAGAAGAGTTACAGTGCAGGGAGAGGAGGAGGACAAAAGCCAGGCGTGACCAGGAGCATCCTCCTGGCTCAGCTCCTCTTGGCTGGCTGTCTCCAGTGTGGAAAAAAACCCTTGTCTGCAGGATCAGCCGCTCCACTGCGCTTGTCTGGATGGTAAGGGAGGAAAAAAGGGCTCGTGACTTGCAAAGTGGTGGGAAAGGAAAGGGGTGCCTGGCTTGAAAGCAGCTTCCTGAGAGGAGATGAGGAGCAGGGTACAAACTGGCTGAGCCAAGATGGTCTAGAGCAGCCTGTCTGGCCCCTGCCAGCCCTGTGGCTCCCCAGGCCATGGTGGGATCAGAGCAGGCTGAGCTCTGCCCACTGGGATGCCAGGGAAGAAAGATGAAACCTGATGGGTCTATGGTCAGCAGCCCCATCCCACTAGAGGATGCTCAGTGTCTCAGGGCAGGAGCTGGTTGGGGGCCCCCAGGATGGAAAGGTGGCTGTGGGTGAGAGGAACTGGGACCAACCCTCCCCTGCACATCATGCAGTGCTGCTGCTCAGGGCAAACCAGCTGGGAGCTAGAGCAGTGAAAGATGCTCCCTGCACTGTTAACACGTCGTCTCTCCTCACAGGCCAGGATGTCTCCTTGGATCTAGCCAGGGAGGCCAGAGCAGTGCTGGAGATCCCTGTCCAAGTGATGGTGGGACTAGGATAGAGGGGCTGCCACGAGAATGTCTGAGGCCAAGACCCTGAGCTCCTCTTGCCTTGTGCTTTCCTTGCTCTTCTTGCACTGGGCTTCGCTCCAGCTGGGCCAGGCTTTTCCCAGCACCTCCGACTACCTCCAGCGGGGCTGGCAGCGGCTGCTGGAGGAAGGAGAGGGCTGTGCTGAGTGCCGGCCGGAGGAGTGCCCGACGCCACGGGGGTGCCTGGCTGGCACAGTGCGGGATGCCTGTGACTGCTGCTGGGAGTGTGCCAACCTAGAGGGACAGATCTGTGACCTGGACAACACCAACCACTTCTATGGCAAGTGTGGGGAGCACCTGGAGTGCCAGCTGGATGCCGGGGACCTGCGGCACGGAGAGGTGCCCGAGCCCCAGTGCACCTGCCTCTCCCACCTGGCCCTCTGTGGCTCCGACGGCAAAACCTATGCCCAGATCTGCAGGTTCCTGGAGGTCGCCCGTGCTCACCCTGATGCCAACCTCACCGTGGCCCACGAGGGTCCCTGCGAGTCAGGTAGTGCCCTGAGAGCAGCTGTGTGGGCAGCCGGACAGAGGCTCATACCTCTCGGGAAGGGACAACAAGGGGGTCTGGCTTAACTATTTCACCTGGCAGCAAACCCATGGTGTCTACAGGTACCCGGCAGCACTGGGGGCTGCTCTGTACAGTGGCAGGTCCCCCCTGGTCCCCGCACCCTGCTGATCCATGCCCGGTCCCTGCAGACCCATGCCTGGAGAGGTCTGAGAGCTGCTTTGCCAAGTGGGAGCTGGGTTTATGGAAAGCAGCAAATCCTGCTGGAGCAGATGGGGAAGTTCCAGGGAATTGTTAGCGAATTCTTGGCGGCGGTGCTGGATTGACGCTGGCCCGGTGCTCCCAAGAAACGCGGCTGCCTCCTGCAAATGGAAACCTGGGTCAGTTTGACTTGGCTGCGTGATTTCCATCTCCTGTTTTAAAACCTGGCTGAGGGGGCAGGCTGTGGTGGGGAGGCCATGCCCCAGCCTGCCTGGTCTGGCACAGGTCACCCAGTGCTGTTACCACAGTGCAAGGGGCATCAAGGTTGACGTTATTTTCTGTAGATCATCACATCTTTGAGTTTTTCCCCCAGGTATCTTTGGAGGTGGAGGCTTTTCCTTGACCTCTGGCCCATGCTATGGGCCAGATCCTGGAGCAGGCGTGGGTAGGAAGTGTAGTCCTCACTCCATCCTTCCAGGGAAGGGATATGGGACCTGGAGGTATTGGCTCCATACAGCAGCTGGGGACCTGCTGGCTTCCTTAATTGCTGGCATGAGCCCTGTGCCAGAGCAGAAGCCTCCTGCGGCTGAAAGCTCATCCACCTCATCCATCCCCACCAGCTTTGCTGGATGAGTGCCCCTCACAGTTTCCCCCCACAGGAGGAGCATGCTCTGATTGCACAGGAGAGTTTTGCTTTGTAGTGTTGCTGTTATTTAACTGTTCCTGCTGCCCATATATCCCTGAGTATCACTGCACAGGTGGGGAAAGGGAGGTCAGGCAGGATGGCAACCCCTTGTGGGCTAGGGGGGCTGGGGAGGGAGCCCCCAGTCCCAGCTGCAAGGAGGGACCATGTCCTGGGGCAAGGTGAGGGTCCGCCATGGGTGGGAGAGGTGAGGAGCATGGGAAGGGTCCCAGCATCTCTGTATGGGTCAAATGCTGCCACCCCAGAGGGGACCAGCCCAGGAGAGCCTTGGGACCTGCCATGGGTGGAACCTCTTCTGAGCCCACCCTGTTCTCCTGTCCCCTTCCCCAGAGCCTCAGATCACCTCTCCTCCCTATGACACGTGGAACATCACTGGGCAGGATGTCATCTTTGGCTGTGAGGTCTTCGCCTACCCCATGGCCTCCATTGAGTGGAGAAAGGATGGCATGGAGATGCTGCTGCCTGGAGATGACCCCCACATCTCTGTCCAGGTGAGTGGTGTGCCTAGGGCATTGGATGTGGCCCCAGGGTGACCCAGCCACTCATGGGCAACCAGACCTGAGGGTGTTCATAGTTTGAGGGTGGCCAAGCCTGGCTGTCTGGGGATAAGAAGTGGCGACTGGAGGCTGTACAACCATGAGGACTGACTGAGCCAGAGCTGGTGTCTCAGTGGTAGGAACCCTTAGCGTAGCTCTTTTCTGCAGTTTTCTCTAGTAGTTTTTGAGCTTATGAATATTTTTTTAGGACCTGTAGAGTCCTGCAGCAGAGAGTTTCCCACCTCCCTGCCTGCTGGCTTCACTTGCAGCCCCACCAGCAGGGCTGGAGGAGAGGACCTCCTGACGCGCCTTCCAGCCTGGGTTATCCTCTGATCCTACCGGCAGACTAAAGCAGTCTCTGCCCTTCTTGGCCTGCTGCTCTGAGCAAGGCTCCTCTCCCAGATCTGGCAGGCCCAGGGGTCAGGATCCTGCCTGCAGCCGGCCGCAAATACAGTGCCCAGCTGGGCGTACCCAGCTATTAGAGGGTGTGGACAGAGGCACAGAGGCCGTGCACCGCAGCCAGGCACCAGCAGGGAGGAAATTGTGATGGGATGGCTGCAGGGAGCCAGGGGAATTGGTGGGATCCGGCACCATTGCAGGGTGATGTGGTGGTGCCCTTCCATCTTTCTGCCCTTCGTGCTGTCCCATAGCCTGTCAAAGGGTCCAGCTGAGGACCTTCATCCCAAGCAGAGTTACCCTGCCTGGCTGGAGGAGACTCAGCTGTCCTCCACCCCCAGCCACGGCACCATAATAGCAGTGTGCAAACACAGCTGCAGCCCAGCTGGGTCAGGAAAAGGTTTTCTTGCTGGGGACAAACAGAAAATAGCGTGGTTGGTGCCAGAGCACTCCTGGGACCTTACTGTCTGCTGAAACAGGGGGCTCCTCTGAGCTGTCCCGAGCTAGCTATGCTGGTGACACAGATGCTCACTTGCTTCTGCCACCCTGCAGAGCAGCAAAGCCAGCATCCTCCCGCTATTTGGGGACCACGGTGGCGCTAGGGGCTCAGCTGGGAGTCCAGGCATGTGTGCAGGGCTGTGCCCAAAGCAGGGCTCCCAGACCCTCCTAAAGGCAAGAAGATGCCCATTCCTCCCACCTCCCCTGGGTAATGGGAAAAGGAGGGACCTGCATCCAGGGGGTCTGTGCCTGACCCCAGAATGGTACTTAGTGGGGGGGCAGAGAGTTCCCCTGGACTTGTGTCCCCCTTCCCATCCATCCCAGCTCCTGGGGCTTTTCTGGCCTCAGCACTAACTGAAATTCTCCCTTCTTGCAGTTCAGAGGCGGCCCCCAGAAATATGAAGTGACTGGCTGGCTCCAGATCCAGGGTGTGCGGGTGACGGACGAAGGCACCTATCGCTGCTTCGCCAGGAACAGGGTCGGGGAGGTGGTGGCGTTAGCCAGCCTGACTGTCTTCACACCAGGTGAGCATCCTTGACCCCCAGTCTCACTGGCATGAGGGAGGGGATGTTTGGGCAGGGTGCACTGGTATGGTGGGAGCTGCTGGAGCATAAGGCTGTGCTGGGGATGCCCCAGCAAGCTGCCGTGCACAGTTTGGCTTTGGTCCTGGTGGGGAAGGGTACAAGCCGTGGGGAGGGGGCAACGTTACATTGTCCCTGCACTGCTGTTTCAGACCAGCTCAACCTGACAGGCTTTTCCCTGCCGAAGCCCCGCACGACACCCGAAGACTACGGGGAGAGCGAGGAGGACTATTACTAGCCCAGAGGCGGGATGTCCAGCTGCAGAGATCACCTTACCCACAGCGGCCATTCCCAGGGGTCAGGGACATCTTTGGAGCAAGCACCCCGCAGCCCAAAACTCCTTCTCTGAACACTACTGGCACAGCAGCGTCTTTTTTGGGGTGGGGGACAGGGTGACACATCCCTTTGCTGGGGTTGCTTGGGGAGGGGACACTGGCTGGTTGGTGGTGCAGGGCTGGGACTGGGCGCAGCCCCACCTGGGCCAGGGTGGGTCTGTCCTCCAGCGCTGAGCAGGGGGGTGTGTGTGACAAGGAATTGTTGCTGGGGGTGGAGGCAACCCCCTGGGAGAGGGAGGCCAGGGGCAGGGGCATCTCTGCCCTGTGTGAAGCATTTTGGGGAAGCCAGAGCGGAGGGCTGGGACATGGCTGTGACACAGCCAGTGTGTCACCCTTGGGGCTGATCTGTGTCCCCCGAGCACAGGGATAGCCAGGCTTCTCCTCAGGACCTGGGGAGCCTGCTGCCAAAAACATCCTTGTCTTCTGTTTTGTTTTTAACCACAAAAGTAGTGATCTGAGGAAACCAGACACTTGTGGTTTTCAGTGCTGTCTTTTCTCCAGCCCAGCCACCCATGTGGTCAGAAACACTTTGGCCTTTTTCGACTGACTTTGTGCTTTCCCTTCCATGCAGCTCTCTTTGCCATTTTGGTTGATGTTAGTTAAAATATACACATTGGTCAAAGCCGACACAGATCAGTCGACTGCCCTGCACCCACAAGGATTATTCTGGTGGTGAGGGAGAGTGCAAACACTGCGGATGATACCTTGTCCATTGTGGGGGTCAAGGAGCCCTCCTGCTCATCCTAGTGCTCACAGCTGGTCCTGGCATGGGTTCTGCCCCTTTCACCCCGCATTGGGATGGGGTCCCCAGCAGACCATCCCCTGTGCAGTGGGGATGCATCAGGTTGGCTCATTGCACCCCTGCCAGTTTGGATCCCATCACACCTCTGCCCAGCTTCAGCTTGGGGTCCTGTGCCTGGTGACACCGAGGTTTCCACCCAGATGGCCACAGCCCTGCCAGTATGGAGGGGTAGTACAGCTTTGTGTCTGGCTGAGGAAGGACAGGAAGGCTCCCTTTTCCACTGGAAGTGCTCCTTTTTTAAAAAACAAACAAACAAACCCCACACCAGAACAAAACCCACCTGCTTCCTAGAGCTGGTGATTTAGAGCAAACTCATTTTGGGGGAGCATGGGAAGGAAGCCCAGAGCTGTGCTGTGCTGTTCTGTGCCCAGAGAGGGCTGGCAGGACCTCTTCTCATGGGCACCATGGGGCTCAGCTCACAGTCAAGGGGTGCTTTTCCCCCCCAAACGAGCAGCATTTACAGGACTTCTGGGAATCAAAACCTCCCCATGGACCAAACTGCTCCCAGTTACTCTGTCCCAGCTCTGGGGAGGTCCAGAGCTGTGGCTGGGAGCCAGACCCCACGAGGAAGGAGTTGGCCAGTCCCCAGGCAGGATGCAAGGAGGCTGGTGGCTTGGGCGCCACGCTGCTCTCCTTCCCTTGTTTTTTTCTTTTCTTTTCTTCCTCTTTCTCTTGAGAGCTGGCTCAGACGATGCAATTACAGCATTGAAACCTGAACAAGCAAATAAAAGGGATTTGTCTGGAGTTGGCAGCAGAGCAAAATTCCTGCAGCCGGTGAGGCTGGGCCAGCCCTGGCCCCTGTACCGCAGCCTGACGGGGCACAGCTGGTAGTGCTGCCACCCTCCCTGCCCACCTGCTGGGCTGCCTATCCTCTCTGGCAGCAAACCCCTTCTTGGCTGGGGAAATGTGAAAGCCACTTGTGCCTCAGTTTCTCCTTCCATCTAACAGTGTAATAACATCCTCCTGGGGCTGCTACATCAGAGTTGGAAGGTGTTCAGGAGGGACCAGGGACAGAAATGTGCTGTTGGCTTTTATTTTGCTTTTTTTGGGTGTAAAACCTGCTTTTGGCAAAGCCGGGGCATTTTCACCCATCCTGATCCCCTCCCCATTTTGCATGCTGGTGGAACTGGGCCACACTTAGGCTGAGGCTGCCACAGGGAAACCTGAGAGCAACCTGGAGCTTCTCGCTGGGCTCCTCGTCAGTGCTGGGGCTGGACCCCAGCCAGGGCTGCCATGCCAACCCTCCCCAGGGCCAGGGTCCCCATGCCTGCCCTGCCCACGTTGGATCGAACCCAGGTTGTGCCAGGTGTGGGTGCAGGGCCGGGCTGGCTGGGGGGGTTCCGATGGGCCGGACCCCCATCCCTGGCTATCCCTGTGCTCTGCGGGGCAATGCCCTGCCTGCGCATGGGTGGGCATTTGCTTTTTTGTCTCAGTCCTTGTCCCCCTCAGCTCCTCACCTGGTCCCTGTGGTACCTGACAGGGGATGTTGTCCACTCCCATTCCTGCCCCGCAGGGAGGGCAGCAGCGATGTGGTGGCTGAGAGAGGGGGGAACTTCAGCAAGGGCTCTTGGACAAAATTATCTAAACTGGGAGCTATGTCTCCCAGTTTCTTCAGATCCCAGTGAGGGAAAGGGCTGATTTGCAGGCTGGCAGCTCAGCCAGTACTGGGGCTCCAGTCCCCCCCAAGACAAGGGGCAGCAGATCTGCCCCAGAGGCATGGAGGAGGCTGGTGTCCCCCCACTCCAGCTCACGGTCTTGCCATTTCCAGCCACTTAAAAATTAAAGCAGCCAATATTATTCCACAGCTGGAATCGGTCACTGCCACAGAGCTTAATTGAGGTTATTTGTTGGCTCTAAAAACGTTTGGTCAGCTCTGCCACTGGCTGCTTGGATACTTTCTGCAGCCCCTGCCCCAAGAAGGGGGTCCCTCCAGGCTCTGCAGATGCTCTCCTCGCCTCTGGGCAGCTGGAGGGTCCTGGGGACCTGGCCAAACCTGGTGTCAGTGTTGGGACAGAGAGTGTGCCCCGATGGCATGCAGCACCAAATCCCTTTGCTGGCCGATTTTTGGGGCGATTGCCTTCCATGGATGGAGAGGGCCAAGCGGCTCCTGCCAGCCCAACTGCCTTTGCTCAGAGCAGCAGCAGCTCAGCCCAGATGTCAGGCTGACGTCAGGGATGGGGTCAGCTGGACAAAGAAGTGCTAACGTGGCCACCAGCCCTGGGCACGCATCAGCCCCAGCAGGTCCCGTCTGCCTGTGGTGAGAAGGGTGCAGGTACTCGCCAGGCACCGGAGGTCACCACGAGGCTGGGGACAAAGAAAGGTGGAGCTCGTCCTGCCAGCACCCAAAAGACCCTGAAGACACATGCTAATGGACCCAAAACCCTGTGGTTTAAAACCCACCAGACCTCAATCCCTTGCGGGGACATGCAGAGTGCTGGCACCGTCCTGCCACCATCAAGTGTTTCGGCCACCTCTGTTATGTACTCGCAGCTCTGGGTGCTAGGGGGGGAATTCAAGTAAAACAGCACCCACCCCCA